TAAAACAATTTTTAGGAAATTAGGTTTCTCATGTCCCGTCGCTGTTATCGTGCTTCCCAGTATTGGTGGCTGCTTCCTTCATAATCTTTTTATTTGAAATAGTGTGGAATGCAATGTGGTTTCTGTTATTTGATACAGTTCTTTGATTCTTTAGCTCCAATCCACCAGGTTTCTATTAAGATTAACGCGCCTCACTCAGTCAAAGTCATTTTAACCATTGATCGTAGAAAGTTTTTATATAAAGCTAACAGTTTAGACATTTGCCGTTGTTGTTGTTGCTGCGTCCCTTCAGGACATAGGCGATCATAGCTCTCTTTCTGTCTCGTGTGACTTATTGTAGTTTTTCTCCCTCTAAGGCCCCCGCTCGTCGTCTACCCCATCTATTCACACAAGCCTGACAGGTAAGTGACTCACTGCCTTCTTTTATCTCTCAATATATCCAGTGAGGGTTCCGTTTTCCAAGCTCTATTTTCCCTTTCAACTGTCTTTTCCTGACTTTGAGTATAAGTTTTATTTCTGTTGCCATTGTCTTTAAGACTTTCTTGTTGCTTACTCGCTCTGGCCATGAAATTTCCAGTATCCTTCTGTAGAACTACATTTCCGTTGCGTATGAATTTGTTCTAACATCCATACACGATGCATTTGAAGTATTTCGTATTTACTAATTCTACCTCTTGAATTTGTATGATTGATTCAGGGTAGATGACACCAATGCTTTTATTCCAATTCCAGATCATAAAAACATTTTGGATATTGACTGCCGTCAAATATCTTCAAAACGTTAGACTATATATTATTTCTAGTGTCAAATGCTGTTTTGAAAATATTAATTTCGCTTCTAATCATCCTTATTTGTATTCTCTACTTCTTTGACACTAGAAATAATATATAGTCTAACGTTTTGAATATTGCCATTTTCGTTGTCTTTTCGCTGATTTGGTAAGTATAGTCTATTAAGCAATAAACATTATGGAGTGCATAGAGTTTTGAAGAAATATAACAAATGGAAAACCGTTTCATTGCAACTAAATTTGATTACGCGTTTCGCCTTTCTAGGCTTTATCAGAAAAAAAATAAAAAAATACATATTTAGTTAAAAATAAAAGAACATCCTTGATAATGGCTAATGGAATAACCGAAAGCGCTTGGATAAAGAACATTTTGACAATTTTTACAGACTTTATGTCCACAAAATAAAACATTCAAACGAACACAAGTAAAAACCCTAATCGCAGTACCATGTGTGTTGTCTTTAATGGAACTTGTATAAAAAAGGGATTGCTGCCCAAATACACAATTATATATATATATTTATTAAAGACATTTTTATGTTTAACGTTGTTTTTTATAGATACAAGTATTTAAGTAAATGCTCTGTTTTGATAAACGGTATTAAATGAATTTGTCTGAGAAATTTTCACGGACATTCAGGCCGGTAAATGTTATTTAATACTGTTTATCATAAACAGAGCATTTACTTAAATACTTGTATCTATAAAAAACAACGTTAAACATAAAATGTCTTTAATAAATAAATTGTCGGACCTTGTCCATTTCTTAATATATATATATATATATATATATATATATATATATATATATATATATATATATATATATATATATATGTATGTGTGTGTGTGTGTAAAGATGTTTTTGCTAATCTGTATGGGTAATTCCAGGAGGATATAACCCAGAGATCTCAATGCAAAAACAAACCAAATATTAATTATATTAAGAAACAGACATTTGAAAGGGTTCGTGGTGATTATAATTTATTTCCTTAGAATCGGAATTCGATTCTAATTCCTCATATCAACATTTTCATACAAATAAATGTGTGACAAATATTCAAAGTATAAGAATTCAGTATCAGTATTATTATTTTTAATTTATGCACACATGTTTCTGAGGAGGCAGGTTTATATATATATATATATATATATATATATATATATATATATATATATATATCCAAGTGTATGATTGTTGTATACGGAATAAATTCCAATCACCAACAATTACTATTCTTAAAAAGTGCTCAATACAGAGTAGAGCGAATATAAATATTTATTTAAAAATTATAACATAAATATGTTATAAAATCACTACAATATATATAAAATATATAATCAATACAAATATATATATATATATATATATATATATATATATATATATATATATATATATATATATACCTCAGAATGTCCTTGATTCGTATATAACAAAGCAATAAGTCAAGTTAGATAGGTTAGTTACTAGAAATGAATTGTGTCCTTGCTGGATGTGCAATTTCCGGTAAGAGCCGAAATGACTTCTACAGCAGACATATGAAGGATGTCGTGGGAAATGGCGCCGAATTAAAGGTGGGGGGATGAAATAGTTTGCCGTCAAATATGCCAAATAAATCGCTTTAGATGAGGCTCGAATAGTCATGACATTATTGATTAGTTGGATCGTAAGGAAGAATTGCATCTGGATGTGGATCGTATCATTCACAAATCAGATTTTTACATTCTCTTTCGGAAATATTACAGATAGCTGTTTTATGACACAATCAGATGTGCGTGTTCGTTAATTTCGTAGCAACCAAGATACAAAACAAGTTAGATGATTATTGATTCCCAACTCTGCTGAGAATTCCATTAAGATTCTGAAAACCCGGTTGTTCGGATACTAACATTCTTCTTTTATATGTTGTGGGCGATCATGGTTCTCCATAACTTCCTATCCTCTATAGCTCTAAGCAATGTTTGTCCTCTTACTATCCCTCTTACTTCCCGTTATACCTTCAGACCGTTAGGCTGTTTACTTTCCGTTTTTTTTTGTCGCTCTTGCCTTCAGTATATCTCTTGAATTATTCAAGCTTTCTTTACTCTTTATGTGTCTCTGATCCTAAACACAAGTGTTGTTGATGTTTTCATTTTCCTTAAAACTTCTTCGTTGCTTACATGTTTTATGGTATTCTCAGCATCCTTCTGTAGAACCGCATCTTTGTTGCCTCAATCTCTTCATTCGTTAGATTATCCAGAATTCAATGTCATATAAAACGACTGATATTACGTAACAGTTCATTACTCTTTCCTTTATTTCCAACGAAATTTTCCTGTTTCTTAATAATTTGCTTAACTTTTGGAAGGCAACTTTCGCTATCCCATTACACCTTCTGATTTCTGCGTTACATTTCCCATCGTCTGTTAGAATACTTCCTATAAAGTTAAATTTCTGTATGTGCATGATTTTGACGTCTCTAAATTGTAGCTTGGGCAGTCCCTAACAACTATAAATTATATTCTAATAGACTAGTCAAGTGCAATGCGTGATACACGTTTGGGTGACTATGTCTCTTTCGATTCGTAACTGACTAGGCAGAAGTTTTCCCGCAGCAGGCTTCCGTTTCTTTCTGCGGTAGACTGGTTGCTAATCAAAGCTATAGGATCCTGTTTGTCCTGAAATTTAACCTATAGCTGGGGGGATGAAAGATGGACTGATACTGTTATAGTGGAACACACCTTTTATATAGTTAATAGACTCTCTCACCTATAATAAGTAGGAGTAGTAGAAGTCTCTAAGTGGCTCAGGGAGTTGGGCAGTCAGTCGATGTCGGACGACCGTTAGTCGGATACTAAAAGTAGCAGCGAACACCACTAGATTTCTCTGCGTCATTACCTATTATATTAAGTTCCTAACGTTTTGTACGTCGAACCTCTTTTAGGACCGACTTAGTGAAACTACTCTACAACAAATACCTTTCTCAAGGGTATTTGCGCATAAATGGATGTAACGAACTCGACAGATTACAGTTGTGAAAAGAAAGTCAGTTTGCACCTGATGCGCCTGAGTAGAACAGAAGACATCACATCGATTAATTTATATTATCCGGGTGCGTTTGATATTACCCGGGTGCATTCCATAAGGACAACCATCTAGTCTTCGAGACTATGCTGAAGGCCATTGGATTTGAATCATAATTTCGTTTTGGCATCTCGTCGTTGTGATATAAGTGAACGTAACCACCGGAAGTTCTTTGTGCGGTTTATTTTCACTCTTCCTGTATATGTGGGCCGTTAAACCCCAAAAGAATTCTAGACTTCGTCTAGAATTAAGTATGTCGTTAGCAAAGAACTTTTTTGTTATGTGACTGGCGAACTTGGATCTGAGAGCAAAGAACAGCTCGAAGAATTAAAATAATGTGGCATAAGAATCAGTTATCAGTTATCTCCACTTAATTTCCCTCTGAAATTTCTCCACTGCCTTAACCGGGTATTGAACTCACACTCTTTGGGTCCTGTCACATGGCACAGTGGATAAAGGTGTTAGTTAGATCCAGTGACAGGACCCCAAAAAGTGTGAGTTCAATACCCGGTTAAGGCAGTGGAGAACTTTCAGAGGGAAATTAACTGGAGATAACTGATAACTGACATCCATTAAATATGGCACGTGGAACTAGAACAGTCTACCCCAGTGTGCGAAATAAACGGTTCAGTTCGACATTCCAGCCACCTGAAGAAGGCCGGAGCGTACAACGGCCGAAATGTTGTAATAAATATGGCGACGAAGATGAGGACAATAGTCCGAATAATGTAAATAATGTACTCCCTGAAATGTTTGGATTTGTGATGGTGTTTTGTTCAGCCCAAACTGAGCGAATACCCTTGAAAAATTATATGTGGCACTATGCTTCTTGACTGTGATAAGAAATACTCTTGGTGTACATTATGGTTATAACGTATTGAAAAGGATCATTAAGAAATAAAGATGACATATTCCATAACATTAGCCATTACGTAGAAAAAAACATACATTTTTTTTGTGTGTGTGTGTATAGAAATACTCAAACTGAATAAAGCGGAAGTTAAGTTTTTTTTTTGTTGGTTTTGGCTATCGAAGTTTTATACATTTATTAAGAACGTTTTTATTGGTTATAGAAAAAAAATCAATTTATGCTTTTATGTCATACTCTTTTCTTAACATATCCTTTTATTTTTCTCTTACAGCTGCAACGGGCATTGTCACCATTTGACAAAGCCAAACAATATATCGACATCGGCAACCCAGGCTACTACTCACCATCGATTCACAGTCTGACTATTCTAGATTGGCAGGCAAGTCGTACATCCCCCTATGATATGTGGCGCTGGGGTCAGTCCATCCAACCTGCACTTACACGGGGCGCCGTCGGTCGAAATTCCTACACTTGCCACGACCATAGAAGCCGCCACGAAAAAAATAAATACTATTTCAAATTGGCCTGCACAGTGTTTTGTCTCTTCATGCTGGTCTCTTCTATCACAGCTGTTATCATTGTTTGTACATATTTTTACAGAACCAGCGGTAAGATTAAAGTTTCATTATGAAAATATAAAGGGAACTTATAAAAATTTTTAAAAATTAATATTGTGTTTATCAATTATAGAGCAGAAAATATAAAGTTACCTTATCACAATACAGTAATATTCCGTTTCGCGCAGGTCCGACGCTCTTTGCAAATATTGTTAATAAATTTAATAATGCTGAATAAAACAAAGTCAGTGTAATGACAAAAGTACGCAGGTGTAGGCTTTAAGAAAGCTTTATTCAACTGAGAATACAAGTTTCCTGTATAATGTCCTTTTATAGTCCCAATAAATAGAAATAGCTCTCTAAAAGAGGAGAGTAACAAAACAAGGTGAGACCAAATTGATTATTCATAACAGACATTATCCGAATTAACTATACACTAAAATCTTTGGTTAATATCTATGCTGATTTACTCCTGTCTCTATACTAAATCTGATCGGTTCGATAAGGTCAGGTTGGCGACTGATTTAATGAATTTCTACTGAAAGTAGTACTGGCTGCTCAGTGAATGCCGAATGTTTCGTTATGTTGTGATGGAGAATATTTCCTTACAAGTCTGGACACAGCCGTCGGACGAAAGGCATAAAAATACATCTACATCAAGAGGAGTAGCAGTAGCAGCAGTAGCCTTTGCTGAAAACAGTAATTCACGGTTAAACATTCTCTTCTCTAGTTTCTATTCTACATTATATACCCCTGTACCAAAAGGTAATAAACTTGTTAAACCAATTCTGGTTTTCTTTTTGAGAACTCAGTTACAGCACCTTATAAAGAAACAGCTAATATTTCTATTATCATTGTTTGGCTAATATGAGATATCTGTTGATTATTGTTTTATTTTTCTCCTTGTGATATCAGTATATCTTTATTAACTGTCAATTCTGAATCAATATACCCCAGGGATCTATCATTGGTCCTACTTTGTTTTTAATTTTCATTAACAACCTTCCTAGTGGCATCAGCTCTGCACTTGGTAGCTATGCTGACGTCACAACCACTTACTCCTGTCTCAATACTATATTCGATCAGTTCGATAATGTCAAATTGGCGGCTGATCTAAAAAACGATCTACAGTCTATTGTTAACTGGGGCAAAGAATGGCTTTTTACTTTTAACGGATCTAAAACAGCGCCTCAATTAATCATCTGAAAGACCCTTTCTGTTACCCCCACCCAGGAGAGTGATTCGTTGCGCCTTCTCGGGTTAACATTCTCGTCTGGCATGAAGTGAAAAGATTACATTGAATCCATTGCTAGGTGAGCTTCTAAGAACGTTGGCTCACTGCGATGTGCTAGACAATTTTTCTCTCCAGAATCTATCTTACATATCTTTAAGTCTACAATTCGTCTATTCTTAAAGTATTGTTGCTACACATAGTCCAGTGCTCCTGCTATATATTTAGAGATTCTTCATAAAATCCAGAGAAGAATCAGCAATATTATTGGCCCTGATCTGGCGTCTCTGCTTTAGTCAATTTCCAACCGCCGTAAAATTGCTTCCCTCTGCCTTCTCTCGGACTTCTTGTTTGTGGAAATCTCTTAAGACTTCATGCTTTCCGGCCAACTTTGATCTTCAAAAATTTAAATGCCATGTCAATCGTTATCTACTGTCTTTCTGATTACTCTTCTATTGTTCTCGCTCCTTTTCTAATTCTTTTGCACCAATAGCTCCTTGTGTCTTAGTGGATGTACTATCTTAAATTCGATTAAAAATATACCAAGATATAAGAATAAAAGGATGTGGCTGTAGCGTAGTGGTTATTGGCGCGGAAATTAGGATTGGCGATTCAAGTTCAAAATTCAACCTAGGTCATTGCATTCGTTTTTGTACAAATACCCCTGGAAAGTTAGGAAACATCTCTGCCTCCACCTCAGGAGTTAATAGCAGAGGAGATTGTGTTGCGTCGAATAATGCTGCCACATCTGGTCTGGTGTTTCTGCTATATATTTAGAAATTCTTGATAAAATCCATATAAAGAATCAGCAACATTGTTGGTCCTGACCCGGCATCTCGCCTTCAGTCCCTTTCTGACCGCCGTTACGTAACATACCTGTGCCTTGTCTATAAATACTTTCATGCTAATTGTTCTGATGAACTTTAACTATGGTATCCAGACTTTATGAATTTAAGCGCACTTCTAGATTGGCGACTAGGTCTCATAATTTTACAGTTGAAATGGTTAGATGTAACCGCGAGTTCTATGCTAACAGTTTCTTCTAGCGTACTTCTTGCTTGCAGAACTCTCTTTCGACCTCTTCCTTCCCAGTCAACTTTGATCTTCAAAAATTTAAATGCAATATCAGTCGTTATATTCTGTTTTCTTAATTCTTGTTCTTTTATTGTCCTCTCTCATTAATAGTAGTTTTTTCTCATATTCTCTAATACTCAGTAACCTTCTTGCGTCCTAGTGAATTTATTGGCTTGCTTGGGGTGAAATGATTTAAAAAAAGACTGGTCTGTCTACCTCCCCGGACAAAACTTTGCCCTTCAGCAAAACCTCGTCCAGGTTCCTCTCTGCTCGAAGCAGAGAGTTCGACAAATGAACAATCTGGTCGACTGTTCCCACAATCTATTCACTGTTCCCCGAAACCTTCTCTCCTACTAATCTTATAGTAAGCGGAAGAGTCTAACATAGACTCTTTAGAGGAAGGACACCACAACACCCATGATGTTATTTTCCTGAAGGGTGCAAATTTAGTAGATCTCACGACCACACATATAATCAGCATTATCCGTTAAAAATATTAAGTGATCGTAAATCGAACTTAACAAAAGTATATCATTTCAATTTATTAGTCTTTTTTCTTATTTCACTTATTGAGTTCTTATTTCTTTCATTTATTTTTCAGAAGTGCAATTCACACATATTAACGACAGGAAAAGTGAGTATACCTATTATTAAATATGGTAACCCATTTTTTCTACTTAATTTTAAACGCACGATTCTAGCGATTGTTAAGCGTAATAAAGCAAAAAAGAAAAAAATGAATTATTTAAATTATTTTATAAAACTCTTCTTTTTTTAATACAAATATTTATTTAAACCAGGGATCACTAAAATGGCTGATATCTATATACTTGTCAATAATCTGTATTTCTTCATTGAGTGAATGCAACAAACATTTGTATGCTTATAATAAAAACGTATACAATGACTGTCAGTAGAGAAACTTATTTGAAATATATAATGATCCAGGATATTCTAAAATAAAGACCTAGCAGCCGACTAGATTGGTGGTTCTGAAACCATTTTTTGCCCAATGTACCCTTTTCACCATAAGTCAGAATGTCATTCCTCTTTTTGTCCGACGCTCCAAGATAGTCTGACTCAAAAGGTGCATTCCAAATAATATGCATATATTACTGAAAATCTTTTTTTTTTTTCAATATTAGTACATATATATTTACATGGATTATTTTTAAAGTAGAGTTTTACAAATCCAATGGTAATAGAAAAAGTTGATCGATTTTAAAACTTGAATACATGTACAATCATTTGTTTTAATTCATAATTAATTATTAAATAAACAAACTGAAGCATACTTCAATGAACAAAAGTTCAATAGAATGTAAAAGTATTGTAATTCAATAAAATAATGTAAATAAAAAACAAGAAAAAATAAAAGATCCGCTCCCCAAAATCCTGAAATTCCCCATCTGGAGGTGAATTCCAGCCTGGTTGAGAAACCCTGATGTAAATGGTGTTTGATTTGGAGGTATGTATATTAGTCCTAAATTATTACTAACCTACAATTAATGAGAATTTCTTTTAGCTATGAACATGTTAGTAATAGCCAATAATTAGCTAATTAACAACTACCGAATATGTCGGCGTACAAACTGTACCCCCCCCCCAATACGGGTGGGTAGGTGAACGTCTAATATTCCAGGTATAAAATGTGAACTTTAAATCTAGTGATATATCGTAATTTGTTAGCATGGGAGATTTTTGACGGTAGGCTAACCTTTGCATCGCCTCCTTTTTACGATGATGTTGAACAAAGACATAATTGGATGTGTGTCTCGACAAGCCACTTAAAGATCGCATTCGAGAATAGTGGATCGAATGGATGGTTAACGGGAAAAAGTCATTTAGGCTACCGTAATAACCTACCGAAAACACAGCCCCCACTCATGAGGTATCGTAGATTTTAGTAGTTAATTAACAATATCTCCTCACCTTTTGTTTTTTTCATTAGAATTTGAGTGAAAAGAAAGGATATTGTATTCAATACAGTACATTTTAAAATACAATTGGGGGCGTCTTATATGGTGAATATAGCCCGAAACGTACATTCTAACTTGAAAATTTAGCAGTCGTCTTATACGCCCAATCGTCTTTGTACGCCAGTATATAAGGTAAACTAAAAAACCATAATAATTATGATTATTTCTTATTAATCAGAAAATTATAAAAAATATAAATTATATAAATAAGATATTGAAACAGTGTCATTTGAATTGTGGATTTTAAGAATATTCTTGTATTTCTCCCGCTCTAAAATAATTAACCCCGTCAACTTATATTAAAGAATACCCTGTAAGAATTGAATCACATTGGGTGTCACCATTGTAAGGATTATTGAGAAAAAAGGAATATTCATCTCAGCAACTCTGATCTGGCATTAGTAAAGCCGATTGTTTGAAATAACATTGAAATAGTATGGTATAAAGAGGCAATTGGACACCATATTATGCGTGCAATATAGAAACATACAAATATGAGACACAGTGTTAGTAGAAGGTTCTAGGAGCTAAGTTGTTCATGTTGCTAAGTAAGTTGGAATAATAAGCAATAATAATAGGAAATGCTGACAAAGGAAAGAAAAAGACTCTTAGTTGAATATCACAGAGATATGTAGAGCAGATATTTCTTGAGTCGTGAGGGATAATGAAAATCATGTCGGTTGAGTTTACTCACCAGTCAAGAATTAAGTGCGTGCCTAGCTTTATTTTCTTTCTCGCGAGGTATTGCGCCGTACATATAAGGCCGTATTTCCCAAACTTTTTTTTCTCTGGGCCGCATTTTCGGAATTTAAACTTGTTCGCGCCTTACCACAATTTATGTGATAAAAAGTACATTTAAAAATTTAAAAAAACACGACTAATAATGCGTTAAATATAATATATAACACAAATAACTTATAACGATTAAAGTACAGAAATTTAATGAAGAGTATGAGCATGTTTTTGACGGGCTAAAGGGAGATAATCGTGGATTCGAAGTTAGAACATTATCATTGATAACTCTCTCCTTCAATTTGCGGATCCTAGTTACTATATTATTAATACTTGATATAATGCAAAAATATCACAATGATGAAATCGGTCAATAACTATTTATGACTGTTTGTTATGGGGTCCACCCCTTTTTCATACAAGTAGACTCGACCAGTGTGTACTTGGATTGCTGCCGTTAAATACCCAGAGTCAGTCAGAGTAGAGCGATTGTGATTGAGTTGGAGGTAGAGTAATAGTGTGAGGTAACCGCTTGTAGAAGTCACAGTTACAAGCACGTAGACTCTAAAGAAGTCCTACTTCGAGACTGAATTTACCAGACTGTATATATATATATATTATTATTATTGTTACTAACCGCGTTTCTGGATCTACTAACCGTATTACCAATTGTATTATTGTGTAAATACATTTATTTGTTATATTTCATTCCTGCGTTTGTCATTCATTGGAGACCGGATTTCATCTCGGAATCCACAACACTATTTATACTGGGACTCATACATGCAATTACAAGTAATCCATAATAATATTTTAAATTTTGGAATCATATAATTTTTAGTAATTGAATTTTTTGAAACTGTTTCTAAATCTTTGATTGTCTTTCAATCATTTCGCCTCACCTGCTATCCTCTTCCGCCGTACCTATAAGGCGTTCCTCACTGTTTGTGGACCACTGATATAAGGGCAAGAAATTATTGTTATATCGTAATAACATTTTGCATAATCTCTAGAGAGATGTCAGCTAGATACCGAACTATTGCATCTACTTAAAACCGTAATAAAAACAAACTGTAGCTCCGTATTATTATTAGTTGCAAAAGATAAAGACTTGCCAAATTTGAAATCTTATAAAATAAAAATCTCATTAATAATGGTTACGCGAATAAAAATGTTATTTTTCTCCCATTCAGACATGACAGCATTTCTGTGTCAGCTCTCTCTTCTGGAACGCTGGAATAACAATCTTAGAAACCGATCATCAGAATCTTTCAAATCAACTACAAAACGGTTCATACAATCGGTAAGATATTTTTATGTTTTACTTCTACTTTTTCACCAATAATATCTCTACTACAAGTTGAGTATCCTTTATCTGAAATTTACAAATCCAAAAACCTCCAAAATCCGTAAGTTTTTCAGGTGTTGACACGACTTGCCCCAAATGGAAAATTTCAGAAAGCACTGGGAAGGTTCATAGGTGATGTGCAGCTGTTGTAAGTGACCTCATCTGCCCTGGGTGGAGGTTTCCAGGCCCAGCTACGTAGCCTACGTTGGTGCTAGTCTTTTTTTTTTTTTTTTTTGTTCGTCACAGCAACACCTTCGTTCGTGGATTACTTGTCAGTTGTTTCGTGCTCAGTGAAGATATTATTCAAAATTTCAAAAAGACCCGCATTTATATATATATATATATTTTAAGTAGTGATCATGTTGTTTTTGTTCACGTACAAAAAGTACAAATCCTTATTTTTATGTGACATCTTAATTTCGCCATTTGAAAATTTAGCGTCATTACCTGGGTCTGTATTTACACTAAATTTATTAAATTTTAGATAAAATTATTTTCACGGTATATGTTATTTATATAAAACTCCCTTCAGGTTATATGTATAATGTGTGTTATGAAATATAATGGGATATCATGTTTATGTTTGGGTTCCATTCTCAAGCTGTCCTATTTTGTAGATGTTATATACAAATTACATAGCCGGTATTCCAGACTCCGAAAAAATCTGAAAATCGAAGCACTTCCGGTCCCAGTAATTTCGGATAAAGGATTCTCAATCTGTACTATCAATTGAAGTGTGTATAACCCTGAAAATAAAAATAAACGCTTTCACTCTATTAATGACACTGACGACAATATAATCGGTACACGAGGCAATAAACAACATACATAAGACAATATAATGCATTTACGAAATAATATGTGCACACATGAAAATAACTGAGTAATCAAGGCAATATAATGCGTACAGAATACAAAACTGGTTAATGAATCAATGTAATAAATGTACACAGAAGTATTACAGTCATTCCTAATAGCGAATAAATCAATGGACTTTAGATGATACAGGAGTTAAGTCTAAGTGTCATGTCAGAAACATTTTCCTACACATATATCTGAAATGCTATGTCACTTCAGGGTGTAAACGATCATGGCTCTCTACAGTTTTTTTTTTTTAATTATCGGAGAATTATCATGGAGTCGTTTTCCGTTACCTTTTCCACAGTTTGAAATTCGGAGTTTCTTTCTCTTACGTGTTACCACCTAAGGCTAGAGAGCCTAGTTTACTTTTCTATTTAACCCATAGGTGGAGAAAAAAAGGCATTTGTGCAAAAGTAAACGCAAAAGACTAGACAGGAATCTGAAGTCGGTTTAGTTAACCCCGAAACTAAGGTAAAAAGCATTATGAAAGTGTAAAAATAGGTTTTAATACCAGAAATACTTTGTAAAAAAATTATTACCAGAAATAAATTTTTGAAGAAAAAACTATTACCAGCAATGCGTTTTAAAAAAATATATATATTACCAGCAAAACATTTTTTAAAATAATATTACCAGCTATCCATTTTTGAGGAAAAAAAATATTGCCAGAAATAGATTTTTGACAAAACAAAAATATTACCAGGAAAAAAAAGTTGTCAGCATTAAATGACCCTTTGAGGTTGATATACCGTAAAACAAAACAAACCAAACCAAATCATCGCAACTAATAATCATACATTGCAGTTAAGAATACATTTGGAATAGATTAACATACATTAGAGTTTCACGGCAATGGCAGCGTACACAGTGAATTAAAGAAAAAAATATTATTATCCTCTATGATAACACAAGGCTTCCGTATGCATCAAGAATAACAGTGGAATAAATTTTGAAACTCAGTTGGTCTATTCCACTCCACCTGGCACATTCATCTGACCTTGCACCTATTTCGATCGTTGCAGAAACTTTTGATGTGGTAAATTTTCTTTAACGAAAAAAAAACAGATTCAAGAGTTCTGCGGAATATTAAGGTATCGAAGAGTGCCTGGAAATTGCTAAGAAGTCATTACAAATAATGGTGTATATATAATTGAACAAAATGTAGTTATACTTTTTTTTCTTTAAGAATAAAGTTCATAAACAAAACCGGAAATTATTTATAACTCAACTTAATAGTTAAGACGTACGGTGGAGTAATGGATTGCTGCTCGGTTTGAGGAATCGGAGAGCCGAATTCGAATTTCATTCGAGTGCATTATATTCACTTACGTGCAATATGAGATAGGCATGAATCTATCTCTTCTCCCCCCCCCATCTATGGGTTAATAGCAGGTCAAACTAGGTTCTATAGCCTTAAGCGGAAATCCAGTCTAGAAAAAAAAAACTCTGAATCCAAACCAGTCTTGAGAGGTTTGGGCAAGATAGAAACACTACTTCTGTAGCTACAGTACATGTGGTGTTCTTACGACTCTAAAGAGTTAAGGGATTCGTGATCGTGATATAATAGTTTTAACGAAAATCTCATTTCATATAAATACTTTTTCAGTTTTTTGTCTATTCTTGTTCTTTAAAAAAAAAAACTTAGAACAAATATTATTTGAAACGATTGTTTGTTTTGTATTTCAGATGGACCAGGTGTACAACAAACAAAATAATTATTATGTAAGGACAGAAGTTTTAGAATTTAGGTAGGTATTTCTAAAAAAAAACAAATGATACCAAATTTTTGTAACTTTTTCGGAGACGGAAAGAACATGGATAGGCTCATGATGAAAAGAAAAAAGCATTTTAAACAACAAATATTTAATTTCAGTCTCTATTTCTGAGATGAAGTATTGTAACTATTTACACTATTTACTTTGTCCGGACTGTTGTCGTCATTTTTATTATCATATTCACGACGTTTCAGCCGTTGTACGCTTTGGCCTTCTTCAGAATCTGTCTATATTTCTAATATGAGGTATTGTAACTATTTACACTATTTACATTGTCCGGACTATTGCTCTCATCTTTATTATCATATTCAAGACGTTTCGGCTGTTATGCTTAAGGATACATGGCCCAGTGGATAAAAGCGTTGGTTGAAGTAATCCAGTGACTTGACCCAAAAGAGTTGTGAGTTCAATACCTGGCTCCAGCAAAGGTGAACAAAAAATCGGAGAGTTGAGTTAAAGGGAAATAACGGATGCTGAGATACCAGGAAGAGGCATAGCACGTGGAACTAAGACAATCTACTCCGGTGGACGAAATAAAGGGTTCGGTTTGAAATTCCAATTACCTACACGTCGTGAACATGGCAACAAAAACGAGGACAACAGTCCGAACAATGTAAATAGTATAAATAAATATTTAATTTTCAACATAATATTCTTCCTTGTCAGTGCACTCAACCCATCATTAATTAAAACGATCGAACATTATATAAATAATATGTCAGATGATTTATTTTTTTATTGGTCCGTCCCCATAAAGTTGCCAAGATTTTGTGTAAGACATCAGTTGACTAATTCCAGTTACTTGACCTTCAGGATTAGAGCACTCAGACTATTTATGGATGCTTAATAACTGTGGACATATGACTGGGTCCCTCGGGATGTTTTTTTTTTTTTTTATCATCGACGAGACAGTTTCACGTAGTGTTACGATTCCCGTTTCCGTCGAAGCGAACTGAACTGAAAAAGGAAACAAAAGGCAAAATATCGCGAGAAATGAAAACCCAAACCCTGTTTTCAATATTTTTTATACTATTTTTTCATCGACCACTCCTGCTTACAGACAGATGGCTGGTTGGACTTAATGCATATTGATCCCAAAACCTTCAAATGATATATAGCTTTACTCAGTGCGGAGAACATTACTGGGCTATAAGATCGATCACACTGCTGGTTTTTAATGAAATGTTCAGGTATCGTTGAACTTGATACATTAATGCACCTATGTAAACTGTCCACCTTTCACCTGCGAATACTGACTGGTTCGTTTTAGTTGATCGGTGCCTCCAACCTTTGACCCGCTCTGCCTACATAGTCAGCATCGCACTGACATCTGAATTTGTAAGTTACAGAAATAGTATGATCGTTAGACAGAACAACCTTCCGGATCGAACTCGACATTAATCGGGCACCAAAAACAACACGTGAATTAGCTGAAAAATATCAACTTACGCCAACTGAAAATGCTTGGCAAATCTCGCACTCATTTTACCAAAATATATTTCACCTAAATATTTCCTGTGACGTTTATTACAGATTATGGTGTAGATTTCTGCTTCGGCTTTTAAGTTATTATTTTGTTTTCTTTTAAGGAAAAGTGTATTACAAAGAGTAAAATGTTTTCTTGTGACGCGTTTCGTCCTTCAGGAATTTATCGGACTAAATTTATGTTGGTGCAACTACACATGCGCAGGAAAAAGGGATGCTGGGAATTTTAAATTTCAGTTTTTTTCTATTAAGTAAATCTCTTATTGTTTATGAAGTAATTGAAACAAACTTATTAAGTTTAGATAAACTATTTTCAATTAGCAGTGATTACAAAAACGCTTAATGACCAGCTTGAAATATGGCCGATTTTTTTCGCATGGCCGGGGCCTATTACTAACTTTGTTCTGACTTGCTCGATATGATTAATTTTAAATTTAATTATTTACTTTTTTAATTAACTATTTTTATCTTACTTTTCATTACATACCGCTACTTCTGTAAACCCCTATCAAAGTTGACAATGGGCGTAATGTTTTCTTTTTTCATTATATATATAAGTTTTATTTCTTTTTACATATTTTCTTATTTATTTTTAATTTACTTTTGTTTCTTTTACTTTATTTATTTTTTGATTATCTTTTTATTTCTTTTTAACATTCAAGCGATTTTTTATAAGCAACTGCATTTAACTACCTTATATACTCATGTAAAAGCCGACTCTATGCAAAGTACGACCCCTGAATTTTTGGCCTGAATTTTAACTCCTACAGAAAAATTACCTGTATATAGTGCAATTGGTCACCGAAAATGCGTAATTTCTTAACCTCTTCAAAAAATTGCCTGTGTATAGTGCGACCCCCTATTTTTTGCGTAAAAAAAAAACAGATCATAAAAAATCGCATTATACTCAAGTATAAACGATGTCATATGCAACTAAAAAAAAAAAAGAAAAATGTAAAATTAAACAAATACAACTTACTAAATAGTCTATTTTATACTTTATTCTTTAACTCTACCAATTTATCAGCTTAGTTACATTGAAATGTATTTTCTGTTTCTTTGACCAAAGTATAAAATCTTTAAGGAACTTGAGGAATAATTCTTGAGCAAAAATTAAGCAACCCCAATATGGATCAAAATATTAATTGGCTTATTAAAACATCATGTATTTTCCCTATTTATATATGTTTTGCTATTATTTGTTTGAGTTTACAGTTCAGGTTTAACAATTAATAAGCACAAATGAATGTACGCTCAGTGTAATGTTTGAAGGTTCGAAATGAGAAATCGAGCCGTGTTCGAATTCTGGTCGAATTCGTTACGTCACATTTATACTTGGGGAAGATACGAATTCATCTGTTCCATAGTAGGGAAGACTAAGTTTTCTCGTCCTGGTTGGAAACCAGTCTAGAGGTGGTGGCTCAATAAAAACAGCCATCAAGAAATCGAGCCGTGTTTGAATTCCGGTCGAGTTCGTTACGCTTGGAAAAGATATGAATCCATTTCTTCTACCTCTAACTATGGGTTAAATAGCAGGACAGACTGGTCCTGGTTAAAAATCAGTTTGAGGTGGTGGGCCAATAAAAAAAAAGCTATCAAGAAATCGAGCTGTGAATTGTGATCGAGTTTGTTACTCTCGCCTTTGAATGGGAAAGATATGAACCATCTCTTCTCCCCCTAATTTAAATAGCAGGAGAGACTAAACACTCTAGTCTTGTTGGTAACCAGTCTAGAGATGTTGGCTCAATAAAAACAGACATCAAGAAATTGAGCCATGTTCGAATTCCGGTCGAGTTCGTTACGTTCACCTTTGCACTTGGGAAAGATATGTATCCACCATCTTCTACCCTGCCTATTTAAAAAATATTTTATGTCACTCTTATAAATGTTTAGATTTGTTCTTCCCCATTCACTAATCTTCTATCTTCCCTATGAGTTTTATAGCCCTGGCAGCATAAGTGTCAAGTTCCTTGTACTTTTCAACACCTCCCTGGACAAGATTCCCAAAAGAGATATCAACAGAAAACTACCGTTAAATTTCATGGCTCCACTCGCAGATAAAATGGAAGATGAAATCGTCGATTACATAAAAAGCACAATCAGAGAAAGCAGTACCGTGCTGAAAATTAAACCATCAACTATTAAAGTCCTTCGTAAGTAGAAGAAAGATTTTAAATTATTTTCTTAGTCTCATGAAATACTTACAGGTGATAATGATTTGAAATTCCTTTAATTTCTTCACAACCTCTTCCACCATAACTACAAAAGTATTTTATAATATAAAAGTATTAAATGTTGAAATTTTAAAATTAGAATTATCAGAGTATATGTTATTATTCCTGGTATTTTTATACTAATGTTCACCAATACAAGGCCCAAGAGCCACTCAAGGTAGAGTTCTACCAATTCTACCAGTTTAGTTATATTGAAATCCCCTTTCTTTACTATTTATTAAGACAAAACATAAAAAATTTAAGCAACCAATCAAGCAAATTGACTACTAATTCTTGCACAAACTAAGCAAGCTAAGTATTGATTGAAATTATGTATTAAACAATTTTTTCATTTACTCTAATTACTACTGATACACTGAAACAGCAAATATTAAATTATCTATATAGAAAATCATTGGAAACTATTTTATTATAGAAATGTGCTACAATTATTTATTAAACATATCTAATTTTTCATTCACTCTAATTACTACTGATATATTGACACGGCAAATATTAAAGTATCTATATAAAAATTCATTGGAAATTGTTTTATTACAGAAATGTGCTACAATTATTTATTAAACAAATCTAATCTTTCATTCACTCTAATCCTTACAAATGGATTGGAAATTATTAACTATAAAAATGCATTATAGTTATTTATCAAACAGGCTGATCAAAACTTTCATTTATTGTAATAATTGTATTGGGTTGGTGCATAGTTATCAAGCGTATTTTAAACAATATTTATTATGAAAAAAGAAATATGACAATTCAGCAATAACATTTTTAAAAGATTATTCTGGAATGTATGATTATGGACACACATTTTTATAACCTGAAAATAAAATAATATTTTTATTAAAAAAAAAGTAAACAAATTATTAACAAATAACTCCCCTCCAAAAACGCCTGATAATTATGCACCAACCCAATATATAGCGTGACAGCCAATACTAAAAGCATCTATAGAAATTAATTGAAAATTATTAATGACAAAAATGCATTATAACTGTTTATTAAACAGGCTGAGGGTTACTGCGTGGTCTTGTATGAGTGTAAGGAGAAGTTCATAGGGCTATGCAAGAAAGATAATGGTTAACCTTAGACTTGAAGAGGTCAACATTGTAGTGATTGGGAAAACATCCTGTTGAGAGCCTATTCCACAAAGCAGATCTTGGGAAGAAGCTGTTTAAATGGAATTTACTTCTTACTATTGGAATACGGGGAGGGGGTGAGGCTAAGAGGGGCTGAGTTGTATGTCTCATGGCAGGTCCCAGATGTGAAGGTCAGGTGTGGTAGGAATAAGGAATGAAGCTCATCAAAACACTTGCCATGGCAGTAGTGACAGAGCAGCGAGAGCCTCGCAAAATTTTCTGTGAAAAAAGGGGTTTTAGGCTTGAAAATAATTCATCACACATAAGGCCGCGTAGATGCTTTTGAACTCTTATCAAAACAGGCAAATGAGGATTGTGCAGCTCCAGCCATTTTTAGTCTGATTTAGCATAGAGTACAGCAGGGGGGGCAGATAATTACTGAAGCAGTACTCACCATTTTTTCATCATCTTTAGCAATAGATATGAGTTCCACTTGAGGTCTGGGGAGAGATTGAGTCCCAACAGGTATTCACTGATACAAAAAAGGAATCTATGAAAAACCATGATCGCCTACATCCTGAATGAACATGGCATTAAAAATGAATTGGTTGATTATGATAAGTTAGAAAGCTCACTTTCCGACCATGTAGGCCCAGGTTGAAATTTCACCACGGTCAATTTGTCAGGAGGAGACTTATTGATGTTATTAGCCTGGGGAGGCGATCCCAATGTTGGGAAATACCTAAAAATCATACCATGGTTGATCCAAGTCTTGTGAGTGAAATTGGGTAGACGGAACTACTTCCTAGCACAATGTCACAAGTCATCGTGACCGAGGGTTTGAACGAACTGGCCTTGTTCAAACTGATTATCACGTCAGATTAGGTGCTTTCTCTCCAAAATTGTAACTAAGGCCAGCTCAGCATAACTGCAGTATAAACTGCAGTTGGATTCTGTGGGAGGTGAACAAAAACAACTGTGACTGAGTAGGCGTCTACAACAGAGATTGGCTAGCTATCCTAACAGACAGGTGTGCTTAGAAATGGGTAGCTGACCGTTATTAGATATATATGAAAGGGTCGCTAAATTTCTATGACTATTTTGGGGTAGAGCCAATTGAAGTGCTTTTCACGACATATATTTTTAATTTTGGCAAAATAACCGAAAAGCTATATAAAAGTGGAAAGCTCTTATATCGTCAATGCAATCAATATCTCTGAATATGATAATAAGCATAAAAACAATGAGGAATTATTTCAGTTATATTGTCTCTTCAGTATGGTTTTCTAATAACTCTGCATTCTAAAATATACTTGAATATTTGCGATATATTTTGGGTTTTTAAATAAATTGCACTGTTTAGTTTTTTGTTCAACTTTGCTGAAAAAATAAATACTGGACAGTTTGTGAAGCACTGCATTGAACAAATTTCGAAAACAGTTATGTAGTCTTGGGTATGACGATAAACTACATCCGGCAGCAAGGCCACCGAGTGGGAGATTGGAGATTTTGAAAAGCGTGAAACTATCTCTTAATTGCTGTTGTTCCCAAGTCCACATTGACCCGACGTGGTAGCACTTATTAGGGTCCCAGCTATGGGCACATAGTGAACTCCCAAACAAAAATCAACAGTACATTTTTATAATAAAATTAGCAATAATACTTTTTTGCAGTAAAATTACATTTTATGATATAGAAACTATATATCTAAAAAAAACCTTATCTTTATTCTGAAAGTATAAAATTATACAATACATATTTATAGAAAAATAACCAACAATATATTTTATCTGTAGTTGAAGGTAGATAATTTATTTTAAGGTAGATAATTGCGCTCAATTGAAGCCATAAAATTGTGTTCAGAATATATTTAGTTGAAGCCATAAAATTGTGTTCAAAATATTTAGATTTTGGCATTAAATAACCCATAGAGGTTGATACACCGCTAAACAAAATCAACCAACTAACCAAAATAGTTATAGATGTGTAAAAATTGAAATTGAAGTCAATTGAACTATAAGCAACGATAGTTGAAATAAAATGGATACATATTTTACGGAACCCTTAAAGGACCCTAGTAAAATTACAGTCAGAGTCACCGGAAGCAATTTGAGAAGATGTAGTTTCTCAGAAAGAGCTTTTTAATATGTTCTTATTGAGAGGGTACAACATTATGACAAATGAGCAGGGAATATACCGAAACTTTACCTAGAAATAGAAAAGCCTGATTATTGCCAGTGCAACCAAAGTATCACTGAATATGAAATCGAACGTAAATACAACGAGGAACTCTTTCTAAAACCATCCATTTTAATATTCGACGAAACTTTCTAATAATATTGCATTCTTAAAATATTCTGGGATAGTTCCAGTGCATTTTGGTGATTTTCTCAGAACGTAAATTATCAATTTGCTGCTTGATGAGGATATCAAGTATTCTGCTCTTCAGACTCTTGACTGTTATCTTCTTATTATAGTCAATACTTTATTCGGCGCATTACACGAAGTCTATGCTCAGCAATTGTTGACGTAAATGTCAGTAAATTATAAACTTTTAACAACTTACATATATCTCGGATATAACATACAAAAATAGATTGCAATTCATGCGCAAAAGGGGAATAATAAAATAACATTTGAAAAATAATATATATATATATATATATATATATATATATATATATATATTATTATTATTATTAATTATTTAAAAATATGATTCCTTTTTTACATAAGAGTTCTCATGTTTCAAAACAAGAGCCGAAAACTTCAATATAATTATTTAATTGGTACTTTAATTCGATTTAATTATTTAATTGGTACTTTAATTCAATTTAATTCACATAATTATATTGAAATTTTCGGCTCTTGTTTTGAAACATGAGAACTCTTATGTAGCGAAGGAATCATATTTTTAAATAAATAATTATATTTAGGCTCTACTTTTGTATCGAGCACTGTTTTTTTAAAAAATAAAACAAAAATACTAAAGAACTTCGGATTGTTTACCTAACGAGTTTTTTCCTATTTTCTATATATTTTTACACACACACACACACACATATATATATATATATATATATATATATATATATATAGACGATAATTGGGGAATAGTTCTTAGTCCTTGCCGACGCGTTTCGTCATCCGAACTTATCAAAGCAAGTGATGATAAATAAAAGTGACATGTTGTACAGTTACATCAAATTAAATAAAAAAAATTAAAAATACCTCTTTCTGGATATTGATAACTTTTTCTTTGTGCTAAGAGTTTGTTTTTCTTTTCTTCGACAATATTGTTAAATTTCTCAGAATAATCCTGAAGATAAGACAAATTAGATAAAAAAATTACTAATATCCAGAAAGAGGCTTACACAGGAGCGTCTTTAAAAAAAATTTTTTTGAATTTAATGTAACTACACAATACATCACTTGCCTTGATAAAGTCGAATGTATAAACGCGAATTATTCTGAGAAATTTAATATACATACATATATACATGCATATATATATATATATATATATATATATATATATATATATATATATATATATATATATATATAACAGTGCAGTGTAGGGGTGAAAACAAACTACCTATTTAAAATTGTTAACTTTCTTAATTATTGGCCGATTTTCACAGTACGTAAAAATTATTGCGAAAAAGTATAAATCTATTTCAAGTTTAGATTAAAAATAGTGAAGGCTCTGTTTTTATTTTCGAGAAGAATCTAAGTCTGTTTTTTTTCATTTTTTTTTTTTTCCTTTTTTCCACTCAGAAATTCGATCTGGAGACACGGTACTGGATTTAGAAAACAGATATCCACTTGACCGACGAAAGTCAAAATGGAAAAAGACATATGAAAACTTTGCTGAGACTAAATTACTTAATTCACACATGGACAATGGTGAGATAAGAGCAAATGGAAATGGGACAAACACAAGTGATATTTCAGTTCCTAAGAAAGATTTCAGTGAACGAAAAGACGCAACGAATAAATCTCTGGTTCAACAAGTCGACATTGAAAACTACGAAACTTTAATTCCCAATAAATCCGAACCAGTCTGGAGTATGAATTGGTTACCAGCACCTCCTCTAAATTCTTCTGGAAGCGAGACTAAACTAAGCGATTTTGGAAGCAGTATATCGCCAAAGACTGATGTTGATGAATCAAGAAAAATGAATGAGACAGCAACTTCAAAAAACGAAAAACAAACCCTAGCTGCTGGATTCACCGACCCGAGCATTAGATACGAAGAAGCGAGAAAGAATGAAACGACTACGATGACGACAAATAGGGAGCAAACTAAAAATGATCTAACTACAGAGAGTGTTTCAGTTAGTTACTGGAAAGATACCGACGGAGTTGATAGAAGACTGGACGAAGAGGATGAGCCCAAGAGAAAAAGTACACAAAAGCCACCTTCTGTATCTTCGGAAAATGAACTTACAGAATTTAGCGACTTTGATAATACGACTGACTCGATGAATACTTCCATTTTAACGACAGAAGCTTGGTCTGATGTAACATCACATACAGTTGCCTTGACGACTGACAAAATCACCACGGATAATGGCAGTTCAGTGACGTTGGCACAAACAGAGAAAGAGGAGATTGTAACAAGATTTATGTCAACTATATCAACAGCGCAAACAACGGTGACACAATTTGTCGAAAAGACCGAAGAGCGTGAGTAGAACATTTTTTTCTTCCTGAAATAGAAATAGAAACAAAGGACATAGACAATCATGGCTCTCCACAACTTCCTATTTCGTGTGTCTATTAGCAGTTTGTATCTCTTTTCTAAGGACCCCGCTCCTCGTACCGCCATCCAGTCGCATAAGATTTATCAGGTAAGTGGCTCGCTGTCTTTCTCTTTTTCTCTTGCTCTCAATATGCCACGTGAGGGTTAAGTATTCCAATCACTCTTTTCTCATTATGTGTCCAAGGAAATTCAGCTGTCTTTTCCAAATTTTGAGCATAAGCGTTCTTTTTGTTGCCTTTTTATTTATGACTCCCTTGTTGCTTACTCGCTCCATCCATGGAATTTTCCATATCCTTCTGTAGGACCACAGTTCTGCTGCTTCTAGGTTTTTCCTCATCCGTGGGGAGATTGTCCAACATTCACTGACATATATGAGGATGGATAATCAAGTAACAAGCTGCTGCTTCTTCTTCTTCTCCTCTTCTTCTTCTTCTTCCATACGGTGTTTCGTTTTTAACCAGAGATATGGGCTGTACGACCTCAATCAGTTAACACATTTTGCAGAATATTTGTAGTGCCAAGCAACACAGACTTCTGAAGCGATGGGATATTAGGATTTATTCTGATTTTCTTAATGTATGGCTTCGTTGGTATAGACCAGGTATGTCAAACTCAGAGAATATGGAGGGCCGCATCGGCCATATCTGCAGCCTCGAGGGCCGCACCTGCTTAGTCTTAGATTAATCACAGCTAGTGGTAACTAAACTTTAAATACAAAAACCTTACAATATAAGGTAGTACAATTTAATCATCTTTATGTTGTCCTGATGAATGACATCGCTTTAAACAAACTATTCTCGATATATCAGGTGCCTGTGTAAATCCTACTTTGATCAAAGATGACAAATATTCATCAGTTAGTCTGGTTTTGTGAGACGTTTTTGTAGCCTTCATAAACGAAAATAATTGCTCACCGACATATGTGGAACGAAACATCACCATAATCCTTGTGACAAACTTTCTAAAGTTCTTAAATGTCAGAGGAACATATGAAAAAAAAATCCGGGTACCCTCTACTTCTAGGTACTTTCAACAAAAATTCTCGATATACCACGGCTATAGAAATCTTTGTGAAAGCCGCCAAAAATGCAAGTAAAAAAAAAAAAATCCGGAGATTGGTGTACTAATTATTATTGTTGTTGTTGTTA